TATGCCAAAATGGAGTTTAGCAATAGCTGAGCCCCAGGCACACCACAGAGGTCTTTGTTTCAGATAACAGCTTCCGCTTCCACCAATGCCTGCCTCTTGGTTATTGAACTGGAGCCACTGAGGGAGAGAAGAACTGAGCTGGAGGCCAGCCAGCATCAGCCTTAGGAAAATAGTACAGGATGGAGCTAACTCTCCCAGTACAGCCCTCATTGTTTCCCAAGTTTTATGATTCTTCCCAATTTCCTGTTTAGAAAGTAGATAAACTTCCATTTTAATAAAAAGTAAAAAGAGAAAGTCAGCATGGGCAAGCTTCTCGGGTGCTCAGAACCGCACAGTGCCTAATACATAGAATCTGTGGTCCCTACTTTACAGATGAAAACACAAGATTCAGAGATGAGTAATCTGCCCAAGACTGGACAAGAACAGCTACTGCCTCAAGCCCTTTGGGGAAATGAGGTCCTGAATGAAGGAGTGGATAGGAAATTAAGAGGCCACTGGATCCTAAAGATCTGAACGATCAAGCCTCAGGCTGCCTCCTCCAGCAGCTCCCCAGTAGACCACCTCACCCAGGGAGCAGCACTGAAAAAGCAAAGAATTATTTACGGATCTTCAAGACCCTCAAATGAGACTTGATAGATGTGACCTGAGGTGCTTTTGAGCTTTGACAAGACCTGTGGTTTACCCTCCAAGGAAAGGGACTCTTTCTCCTTCCTCAGATTGCATACCCTGGATCTTCCGGGCATTCAGGCACTTCCCACTAGAACAGGACCACTCCAAGAGCAAATGGGATCAAACAGTGGTGCTCCATTACTCTTCCCTGTCCTGTCTGATCCCAATATGCTCCACAGAGTCTGTGTTTGGGAAGTGCCTAATAGGCTGGTTGGATAGAGAAGGCAGACAGCATAACTAGGTCACAAACCACAGCAGCCAACACTGTGGAACTGTGGGCCACCACTTTTCGTACCATTCACAGCGTCATCAAGCCGAGGGGCAGAACCGAAGGGAGATTCCTTTTCCTGAGCTACATCTCAGGCAATGCACTCTTGCTGTTGTTCCTTTAGGCAGTCTGTTCATCCAGGGCACAAGAGCCGAGCATCCCCAAATTCACAGTTCAAGAGACCTTATTAAAAGCAGAAGGCCTGCAGACTGGGGAGAGGGGTGTCAGAGTCGGAGCAATAGGCAAAATGAACAGTGGCTAGAGCCTCTGGCTCCATCTCCACACTGCTTCACTCAGAGTTCCCAAGCTGGCATGCTGCCAGCGCTGCCCTAGTTTTGGCTTTGTTCAACTTTCCTGCATTACGTGAAGAGCATGAACTCAAGAGAACTGAAGAGGAAAGACACACCCTGGATGTGGACGGCACCACCCGATGGACTGGGATACCAGACAGAATAAAAAGAGAAAAAAGAGAAAGGGAGCTGAGCACCAACACTCATCTCTCTCTGCTTCCTGATTGTGGACATAAATGACCAGCTGCCTCCTGCCCCTGGGACCACACCCTCCCCACTGTGGAGGACTGCACCCATTCTTAAACTGTGATCTAAAATAAATCCTTCTCCCTTAAATGGCTTCTGTCAGATAATTTTATCACAACAACAAAAAAGTAACGAATACAACTACTAACCTTCCTTTCTTCTCAGTTTTAAAAATGTGTGTGAGGTATGCATGCATGTGTGTATATGCATGTGCACATGTGTGTGGGCACATGTATGCATACTGAGATTGACACTGAGTGTTTTCCTCAATCACTGTTCTTTTTATATATCAAGGCAGGGTTTCTCACTTGAACTCAGAGCTCACTTTCAAGTCAGCTTGCTCCAGGGATCCCCTTTCTCCTCCTCCCATGTGTGCTGTGATTATAGCTGGGCCACCATACTTGTTCAGCATTCACGTGGGTGCCAGGGATCTGAACATGGGTCCTTGTGCTTGCTGGCAAGTGCTTTACCCACTGGCCCACCTTTCTAGTCTCACTTTTTCAGACAGTGCCTCACTATGTGCCCCAGAGAGCCCCGAACTCTCGATTGCCCTCCCCCCATCTCACCTGCTGGTATTACAGGCATGTACCACCATCTTTCCCTTAATAAAAGATCCCAGTTGGTAGAAAGCAGGAAAACATTGCTGTGCCAAGGCTACCACAAAAGGGTCCTCCAAGGAAGCCTGACCAAAGGTACAACTTACATGAATTGGTTTACATAAAGTTCAAAATCAGACAAAAGCCTCCTTTAACAGTGGAGAGACAGTCATCTCTCTGTTGAAAGAGGCAACGGAGAATCATAGAGACTTTGGTGACTGTGTGCTGGCAGCCATGTTCACTCTGTGATCACTCAGGTCCTATATCTGGTGATTTGTGTGGTTATCTGTATGTATTTTATGCATCCATAAAAATTCACTCTCTTCAAAGACAAAAATGCTTATACCTCTTGCTGATGACTTGCAGAATTCAACCCCTGTGTGTTGGGACAGAGACTGGACAAACAAATAAATGTACAAATCTTCTCCCACACAAGAAGCCTATAAGCCTGTTTTCCCATCATTTAAGGTTTTTCTTTGTCTTTAAGTCCAATTCAAGGTTTCTTTAGAGCGAGTGTTTAGCTGATTTCAGTTATTTGGGGGGGCCTAAATATCATGCCTTTCTTTGACTCTGGCCAATCTCTGGATGGGACCAATTTGTCTGTAGACCTCCAGGGAGGAGCTGAGTGAGACTGGGGCCTCCCAGGTCCCACCAGAGGACAGCAGGGAGAAGTCAGAGCACTTTGCCCACATTACACAAAGACACACTGGAGGGGATCCTGGACTCTCAGTCCAAGGCCAACTGCTTCTCCTCATCTCATTCCAGAGGAGCCAATTAAAAACCCACTCCTTGGGGCACTGAGAAAATGAGTCTGCAGAACCTCACAGGTCATACTTTACAAGAAAAGTACACAAAGGGACTTAGCCCCACTCCAACAGGAAACCATTTGTCCCTAGAGCTGGGAAGGTGAGGGAGGACGAGGAGGAAGAGGAGGGGCAGGAGTAGAAGGAGCAGGAGGAGCAGGAGGAGCAGGAGGACCAGAAGGGCTGAGTCTGCAACAGGGCATTGCAACACAGGCAGAGCTCTGTGGATCTGATGCTCCCCTAATCAAAATACAGTTGTACAAATGGACTGGCTCCACTTGAGGAACATAAAAAAAAGTTGTTTAAATGGGAACTGAGTAACTCCGATTAAAAAGTTCTTTCTCCACTTTCTTTTTTAGACTGTAGCTAAAAAATAAAGGCTTAAAACTTGAAGTAAGCAAGTAATCACACCACATTCTCTCTCTCTCTCTCTCTCTCTCTCTCTCTCTCTCTCTCTCTCACACACACACACACACACACACAGCTTTTTACCATATATGGCGACATTATTCTTCATCCTTTGAAAACGCCAAATGAAGAGATGGCCAATACCCAAAATAATCTTGCAAACAACTGCAAAGGAGAGAGCTAGAAAGCTTGGTAAGTGGCAGGAAACTGCCAGGCTCAATGGGGATGAATATCCCGGGAGGGATGAGTTGCCATGGCACTTGGAAACTCAGGCGCATGCATCTGACACTGGCCACTCCTTTAGGGAGGCTGTTTTACCCTTTGGCCTCATCACTGAGAAAGCCACAGCAGCCACAACTTAAAGGGAGAAACCAGTGCAGGTTTCATTAAAAATTTAATGAAGGCCCTTCTTGGCACACATTCTGTAAAAGATGAGGGCAGGGTGACATGGGGAAGATGTAAATGAGACCCACAAGCAGCCCAGGTCAGCTCTAAGGACAGCAGTTTTGTGTATGTACTGGGAGAGGGTTGACTGCAGGGTCACCAGGCCTGTGGAAATGCTTCTGTGGAAAAGACTGACATGCTGAGGTCACATGAATGCCACATTGGGGGAGTCGAGGGGAAAACTACCATTCCAGGGGTTCTGTGGTTCCTCTTGGACCTGAGCTAAAGCATCTGCTTTCACTGACATGCAAAGGAATGAAGAGATCTGACACTATGATGGGAGGTGGCGGGGACAAAAGGGCTAGAGTAGAGCAGGAGGCCAAGGCTCTCAACGTGCAGGCCAAGGCTCTCTACTGCAAAACCTTTGAGAAAACACCAGTCACTGGAGTTCGGGTTTGGATTACGGCTGATCATTAACTCTCTCTGTGATCATCGGCTAGCAATTCCTTCTACTGACTCATCTTCACCTAGAAGTAACCAGCGGTGGCACAGAGTACTGTTGCTTTCTGCATTCACTCTCTGAGTCCTTGCATATCAAAATACTGAGCACAGGGGGTGGAGTGGCCAGTTGCTGGCAGAGTGCAGGCTTAACATGTGTGATGCCCTGGGGTGCATGTCCAACAAAATACATACATACATACATACATACATACATCAGGTATGCTCACCACCACACTAAAGGGACACCTTCCAGTTATGGGTTGTAACAAATGGGGATAGTGAAGAACGGTTTCCCTCAGGGCAAACCAGGACTGGCTTCATTCCTACAAAAGGCAGCACACAGACACTTGAAGAGGCACTGGGATCCCAGGGCTCACTCACCATGTCACCCTTTTCGGCCTCAGGCACAGATTTTCCCTGAGATGCTGCAGGTTCTGTTTCTGAAAAAAACCCTACTTCTTGGGACAACAGTTGTTTCTGCCTGGTTGCTGGGCCGTCACCTGTTGGCCCTGGTCTCCACGCCTACCAGGTGAGCTCAGTGAGCTCAGTGGGATTTGTAGACAGAACTGCTGTTGTAACAGCAGTGGCCAAGATTTAACCAGGCCTGGCCATCCCCAAAGCTGCCCCTTCTTTTTCTACTGCATGTGGGGCCTGGGCGGCAGCTCAACACTTAAGAGTGACAGGGTTGAGGATTTATTTCCTCCCAGCACATCTGGTAGAACAGAAGGCTTGCTCTCCAGGTCATAAAGCCCCTTGTGTGATTCCCAGCTGGAGAAGGCATGGTGATGGAAGGGTGAAGTGACACCCCCCCAAACTTCATTACCAAATCACTGACCTGGTGAGGAACGAGCCCCAGGGAAGTGGGAGGCTCATTCATGCGGTCATCACTGCTGCTGGCGATGGCATAGCCCCTGTGGGAGGGAAGCAAGGAGAGCACCTCAGATCATCAGCATTCATGGTGAGCACAGGGGAGGAAGATGTGGGTTACACAGTAGGAGTTAGGAGGATAGGAGGATCATCAAAGTGCCCCCTGCCAGGCTACATAAGCTAACAGCAAACTCACTTCCCTGAGAAGGAAGGATAGTCATTAAGAAACAGAAAGACCAGGACTGGAGAGATGGCTTAGCAGTTAAGAGCACTGGCTACACTTGCAGAGGACCCACATGGTGGCTAACAACCATCCTAACTCCAGTTCCAGGGGATCTGACACCTTCTTCTGATGTCCGCAGGCACTGCATGACACAGGTGCACATACATGCAGGCTGTACACTCATACACATAAAATAAAAATAAAATATTTTAAAAGAAAAAGACATGGAAAGACCAAAGTATGTGAGCACTAGTCTGTCTGTTCCATCCCTTAACTGTGAAGCAGCAGGGAGGGTGGCTGCAAAGGCACAGCAGAGGCATGCTAAACAAACTGCCAGGTGCAAGGCTTTTAGCCCTTGCTCCTTCTCTTCCTCCCTTTCTCTCTCCCTGCTTTCCTTAAACTGCCAAGCTCAGGAACTACCACCTTCCTCCCTCTTTCTCTCCTCCTTCCTCTTCTCTTCCCCACTCCCTCTATCTTATTACATTCTCATACTAATCTGTAAAGGCTGGCCTTGATCTCCTGGGCTCAGGGATTCTCCCTGTCAGTTGCGTAGCTGGGACTGCAGGTATATATCACCATGCCCAACTCTAGCCTTAACCTGCTGAACTGACTGCCACATGAATGGAGGAAGGAGAAATAAAGGGAATTAATCAAGCAGAAAAACTAATGTACTTCTCCTCGAAGAGAAGTGTGGGGCTCACCCATGTCACAGAAGCCCAAGACATGGGACATGGTTTTGGATCTATGACCAGGACAAAGTGGGATGGGAGATGGGAGATGGGAGAAGGAGAGGGAGAGGGAGAGAGAGAGAGACGGGGGGGAGAGAGAGAGAGGGAGAGGGAGAGAGAATATGAAACATAGAAGCAGCTCAAAAAGATTTTACTTCCTGATAGGAGTTAGCAAGAAGCTTGGATTAGGTAAGGATGGTGAAAAGAGGTGACAAAGCAAAGAGGACAAAAAGCAGTTCATTCCCCCTTCGCTCTCTAATGTCTAAAAGCCACAGAGACCACCAACGCTACACAGAGAATCTCTGAATGACATCATAAACAGAATACTTAAGTGAATTTTTTATTTTTATGTTTATTTATTTTATGAGTATGTATGTCTGCCTGAGTGTATATATGTGTACCACATGGATGTAGGAGCTCAAAAAGATCAGAAGAGGGCATCAGATTCCCTGGAACTGGAGTTATAGGCAGTTATAAGTCACCATGTGGGATCTGGGAACCGAACCTAGGTCCTCCACAAGAGCAACAGGTGCTCTTAACTACTAAGCCATCTTTCCACCCCCTACTTATGTGTGCCTTTCTTGGAACTCAATCTTGATGGAAAATAAATGCTTTAGAAATTTGGTTCTCTGCTTCTATTATAAACAGCAGAGCACAGAGCTCAAGAGCAGTATGCAGCCACACTAGTTGAGAGACACTCATGTGTGAGTCTCAGACACCATGCTCAGCTGCCCCATGAGAAACAGGACTAATAGGAGCTGGAAACAGTTCTGTGGTTAAGAGCACTTGCTGCTCTTGCAGAGGGCCTGGGGTCGGTTCCCAGCATCCACCTGGCAGCTCACAATCATCTGCAATTCTAGTTTCAGACTCCAAGGCCCTCTTCTGGCCTCCTTGGATACCAGGCACGCACGAAGTATATACATGTACATGCGGACAAAACACTCATACATATGATATAAAATCAATAAATCTTTTTAAAAATGGGACTAATAAGCAGGTGGAGTGGTACAAATTTGTAATCTCAGCACTGGGCAGATGAGGTAGGAAGACTGCCCTAAGTGTGAGCAGTCTGGGTTACACAATGAGATCAAGGCAAGCCCGGGAGGCAGTGAGACTCTGTCCAAAAATAGTAACAAAAATATGACTAACAATATCTTTTTCCTTTTAAGTTTGATAGGGGATTGAATTAGTTGGCAGCTATAAAGTATTTGGAGCAGGGTCATGCACAAATGTTTGAAAAATAAATTATAGTGAGTCTGCTGTACTGCCAGGTGTGGGCACCTGTCTGCCATCAGGCTGGCTTCACTGTCCACAGCTCATTATGCACACCAAGAGAATCTATCACTTTTTTCTTTTTTTTTCCTTCTTAAAACCATTAACTCTGTTTTTAAAATTAGCTTTTGTTTTCGTTTCACTGCAATAAGAATCAACCCTGTTGTCTATAAATCATAAAGTAAGGTCTTCTCTTTGGCTGGAGAAGATAGACTGTCAAGACCTTGACTGTGCTAACTTTTGTATCTTGGGTATAATAGATACACAGAACATTCAACATCTGGACTACTCAAAGGCTCATGGTCACGTTGAAACAAAACATCAGCCTACTCACTTCTTTACTCTCATGCAAGCCCCGAACACTATGATCAACTAGAACACTATGATCACCTAATAAATATTGAGATATTTTTACAACTGGAGCAGAACTGGTGGGCTAGAGGGATGTGACCAAACACTGAGAATAAACAGAAGAATGGGTCTGTGGTTTGGATGTGTCAGTCACTTAAAACTAGGATGAAACTGAATTGCCAGTGTAGTAGCATCTAGAGGTGATGGGGCCAGTGGGAGGTAATCAAGTTCCGGGGGAGGGGGGTAACACCATCATGAATGGATTGGTGAGTTCCTTGAGAGTCTGGGTTGAATTCTCTTACTAATGCATCAGGCCTGTGGGAGAGCATTAATTTTCACAGGACTAGATTACCAGGACCCTCTCTTGCCCAGGCTAGCCCTAAACTCCAGAGTACCTGGGACAACTAAGTATGTGCTACTGTGCCCAACTTAAGAAACTTCAAAATTGAGCCCTGATCTCAGCAGACTGCCAGAGTGCTGAGTTCTGGACGGCCTCTGGCCTCCCTCTGGCAGAGGGCCCAAGAACACAGGGGACTGCCTGAGAGCCCCCAATCCTGCCTCCACTTGCTGGTGAGCTTCCCCTAATTGTGTCATATCCATGCTCCTGCCTGGAATTTCATGAAGCCCCTCCTTAGACCCCAGGGCAGATCTGGCTTTGGTAGGCTAAGGCTGAGATCCTAGCAGACAGCCTGAGAGAGTGGGTTTCAACTTCCACTAGTGTAGTGGCTCTGATCTCAACAGATCACCAGAGAGTACTGAGTTCTGACCTCCCTCTGGCATAGGAGCTGAGAACACAGGGGACTGCCCAAGAGTGCCTGGATACTGCCTCCACGTGGTGAAGGAAGCTGGAGTGTACCTGACTGGAACCTGAAATGGGCTTTTGTGGGTACTCCTGAATAGCTGATCTGAAAGCATCAGTTCCCTCCAAATTAAATCTGAGAGAACCTGAACCCTGTACCAACCAGCTTTACATAACCAATAAAGAAGGGATCTAGACACACTGATAATACAAACAGAAGCACATTTCAACTTAATTCTCATATCAGAATCATAAACAAAAAAAATTCACATGCAAAAATCACAATGAAAGAATAAGATAGAAAGACAAAATACTATGTCCCCACCAAACACCACCAATCCTGTAGAAGAGTTCTATAAGGAGAACCCCCTAGAGATAACCCAGGACACTGAATTTAAAAGAACAATCATAAACATGATCAAGGAATTCAACGAATTTAAAGAACACACGAACAAACAAATCAAAGAACTAAAAGAAGATAGGGATAAACTTCTGAATGAATTCACAAAAGAAACAGAAACGACATTGAAGAAAACTCAGGCAGAAATGAAGAAGGAAATGAAAAATTCAATAAGTCAACATGAAACAACAGAGGAAAGCCTCATCACTAGAATGAATGAAATAGAAAATAGAATATCAACACTGAAGGATAAAGTTGAAGAATTGGACCACTCAAACAAAGACTATGGAAAATGTAAAAAAACACAGGAATGGAATATGCAAGAGATGTGAGACACCATGAAAAGACCAAATCTACAGATCGTAGGAATAGAGGATGGAGAAGAATCTCAGGTTGATGGTATTGACCAGATATTAAACAGGATTATAGAAGAGAATTTCCCAAAATTATGGAAAGACATCCCCATACAAATACAGGAAGCACATAGAACACCAAATAGACAGGATCAGAAAAGAAACTCCCCACGATACATCATGGTAAAAACACTAAATGTACAGAACAAAGACACAATACTGAAAGCAGCAAAAGAAAAACAAGTCACATACAAAGGAAAAGCCCATCAGAATGACACCTGACTTATCAATGGAAACTATGAAAGCCAGAAGAGCATGGACCAAGGTTATTTCCAGTTCTACATGACAATAGATGTCAGCCCAGAATACTTTACCCAACAAAAATGTCTATTATAGTTGAGGGGGAAAGAAAAATTTTCCATGACATGAATAGCCTGAAAGAATACATGTCCACAAAACCAGCCCTTCAAAGAATAATTGAAGCAATATAGAAAATGGAGAGAGAAACGACTATACCCCAGGGGCAATGAAAGAAAATAAAGGTATAATTGAAGAAACATAAAACTAGACAGAGAACACAAACACCAATCAAAATGATGGCAACCAATATACATCTTTTAGTAATAACCTTAAATATAAATGGACTGAATTCCCCAGTCAAAAGACGCAGGCTAAGGGAATGGATTAAGAAACAAAATCCATCTCTTTCCTATCTACTAGAAACCCATTTCACCTTTAAGGACAGGTACTACCTTAAGGTAAAAGGATGGAAAAGAATATTCCAAGCAAATAGCACGAAGAAACAAGCAGGGGTTGCAATTCTAATATCTGACAAAATAGACTTCAAAGTAAAACTAATCTGAAGAGATAAGGAAGGTCACTTCATTCTGATCAAAGGAACAGTTAACCAAGAAGATA